ATGGGGTTTTAGCCACTGCTACAATCTCAAAAACTACACAATCTCTTCAGTGTTCTGCACATGTATCAAAAAAAGTATACTCACCAACCACTTTATTAGGAACACCTGTACACCTGCACATTCATTCAGATATCTGGTCAGCCAATCATGTGGCAGAAGCACAATGCAAAAAAAAATCATGCAGATACAGGTCGAGAGTTTCAGTTAATGTTCACATCAAACATCAGAATGGGAAGAAAGTGTGATCTCTGTGACTTTAACCATGGCATGGTTGTTGGTGCCAGATGGGCTGGTTTGAGTATTTCAGAAACCTCTGATCTCCTGGGATTTTCACACACAACAGTCTCTAGACTTTATACAGTTCCGTGGGTAGAAACACCTTGTTGATAAGAGAGGTCAGAGGAAAATAGCCTGATTGGTTTGAGCTGCCAGGAAGGATATAGAAACATTGTACTACTGCCACATGATTGGCTGATTAGATATCTGCATGAATGTACAGTTGTATAGGTGTTCCTAATAAAGTGGACAGTGAGTGTGTACGTTCAAAGCAGGCAGTTGCATGCTGAGTAGCTTGCTAAAGTTAGCTGCCATGTTTTCCAAAATGAGCAGTGGCAGACAGGCCCAGGAGAGCCGGCTACTGAAAGCACATTAAACACACACTTGAAGGAGGAAGAGGTCCAGGGACGAGGCATTTGGAGTGAGCCGCAGGAACAAATGGTTTTATTCTGACAGTGAATTCAGCCGAGGCCTCGTTTGATCTGGGGCTGATGAAAGCTGAAATTTCTTATTCTCTCTGAGAAACAGAGGACAGGAAAAATAGCCTGAGGATGAATAGAAAAAAGAAGGAGCAAAAAAAAAAAAAAAAAAATCTTAACAAGTACTCATCTCAGAGATTAGACTGAAAGCAGAGTTGATAAGAAATGTCCAGCATTTTGATTAGAGAGGTGCTGAAGAATAGTGACCATATTCACCTTTACCACATGACTTATTTTTCATGAGATCATGAGATGTTTGTGTGGATTAAGGGCCTGTTTTACTTAGTAAATAATAGTTTAATTTTGTTAAACTAGCATTGCCTTCTTTTATTGTAAGGATTGGGTGATAGACTGGATAATCTCTTTATTGCAAGATTAAGTACATAAGAATATAATATAAAGGGATTTATAAAGGGAGGAATAAATGGAAGTCAATAAAACTGCTGCATTAATCAAAGTCTAGATCCAGCTTTTTAGATTCTGCCTTGGGTTGCCTTGGAATTGGACGCGATGGAAGGACTTGGAGAGATCTGTCAAAAGTACATACATAGTTTCTCTTATTAGCTTAGAAGTCTAATACAATCACATCTTGAATGTATGAGTCTTGATTTGAATTGCAAATAGGATTTAAATAGTATTCAGTCATAAATCCAGTGCAGTTGTATCTCATTTTCGCACCAAGGTGTACTATACAGTATTAATGCCCAGTGCAATACACGTGTTTTATTAACAGTGGTGCATATTGATGATGAAGTACCCACTCAGGTAATTTTCCTTGGCTTGGATGTGGCCCATATAACCAGTTCACATATGGGAGTGAATGAAGGCCCAAATTGGGCCTATGTCTGTACTGCCAGAGTAAAGGCACATTCTGGCATCACAGCCACACCTCTACCAGGAGTCAGGCGTTTTCATATGGCACACATCTGTACTGCCGGAACACAGCCACACCTCTACCAGAAGTGAACCATAGTAGAAATGTTTATATGGCCCACATCAGCGAATTTTACAGGATATGACAATTTAGAAGATATGCCAAATACAGTATATGTTTTAGATTCTGCGCATGCTATCTGGGTATTAATGACTCTCCAATCTAAGAGTTACTTACACTGAGTTACAAAGTGTAAGGCAAAAAAAAACATGGACGTCTCCATGTTCATCTTTTGTTAGCAACAAGCTAGCTAGCTAATTGTGATGAGTGATGTATATTTTCCACCTCAAAACAGCAAACTGTGTAGTATATGTTGACTTATACAGACTATATATAGACTATTATGTTGATTGTTCTAAAGTAAATGCTTTGTATATACAGCATAGCTCGTTTAAAGGTAAGAAGTGCTACGTTGTTTACTGCTGATGCTGTGTGCAGCCATGTTGATTTCAGTTCAATTCAATAGCACAGTGCACATACACAGACACTATAAGAAAGGATCTTACTTACATCTTTGCGTTGCAGAGAATCCTGTATTTAACAATCAGATTCAGTAAGTCAAATTTGCAGGAGCTTAAACTGCCTCACACACACTGAGCTGGTCATGAGCAAACACACTCTATGTCCCAGCATCCTTTGCAGCCTGTTTCAAAATTATGCTACATTCAACTTACCTCAGAAATGAGAAGTCAGAACTCAGAATTATGC